GTTGTCCTCGCAGCTGTTTTAAAAATACTCTGCACCTGCCTGTAGGAAACGGCGCAGGGAGCAGGGGTCAACCTGAGCACCTCCGGCTTTCATTTTGGAGGAGGCGCACCCTTCGCGAGCACACGCGCGCCTGGGACGGGCACAGAGGTGCGCGTGCGCGGCAGAGTCGCAGTGCGCAGCCAGATTCCGGCGCGGCGCGCGAGTCGCGAGGCTCCTTGGGGCCGGCGTCCCACGCCGAGGGTGGTGGCGGCCGGCTTTCCAGAAAAGCCGCACACCAGGCTCAGCTCTGCTCGCAAGCAGGAGGCGACAGCAGAGGAAACTTCCACCCGGTAAAGTGCTCGGTCGCGGGGTCATTTGCCTCCTCCTGCCACTCACCGCCTGCTCTACTCCCTCCCTCCAGGAATCCTTACCGCGCCCTTTCTCCCCACTCGCTCTCATCCCGCGTCTCCCTTTTGCCCCAGCTTGGCTCAGGGCCCTAGTTCTGCTCTCTTCAGCGGACGGCGCCACCTGCGGTTGTTTCTAGCGGGAAATGGGGCGGGCACACCCCAGCACTGCTGAGTGCCCAAGGATGGTCAGCCGGGGAGGGCAAGCAGCTTGTTTTGGGGATTCTGATCTTTCTGTACAAAGCGGAAAGAACTTTGAGGGTCAGCGGCCTCAACTGAGGGGCTAGTTTGGTTACGAGAACTTAAGACAAATGATTAACCTGGGGGCGTCCCGCGCCCATTTTCTCATCCTACATAGTCTTTAAAATCCAGAGAAGGGGCCCGGGCGCGGAGGCTCACGCCTGTAACCCCAACACTTTGGGTGGCCGAGGCAGGCAGATCATGAGGTCAGGACATGGAGACCATCCTAGCTAACACCGTGAAACCCCGTCTCTACTAAAAATACAAAAAATTAGCCGGGCGTGGTGGCACGTGCCTGTAATCCCAGCTACTTCGGAGGGTGAGGCAGGAGAATCGCTTGAACCTGTGCGCCAGAGGTTGCAGTGAGCTGAGATCGTGCTGCTGCACTCCAGCCTCGGCGACAGAGACTTAAAAAAAAAAAATCCAGAGAAGTGGGGGCTGGCCCATTTTGAGTGGAGTGTTGCAAACACTGCTGTGATGCCTGCTCTGAGAGCTGTGAGGGGGGCTTGGGAATCTATGCCACTCAACCACCCCCACTCTTAATCCCAAGGGTGAGAGAAAATGCCTAATTTGCCAGCGCCCCAGGTGCAGCGGGGCTAGGCAAAGGAGGCATTCTCAAATTGGAAACAACCTCAGTCACCATTAACATAATAATGAATAAATTCTGGGTGTATTCACGCAATGGAATTCTATATAGCAATGAAAAAGAATGGATTGTTGATCCATACAACAACATAAATGATTTGTCCCGACATTATTATTTTTTTAAATTTCTCATTTTCTTTATCATTGGAGGGAAGGGAAAGCAAGCAAGCAGAGGTGGGGGTATTGTTACACTAAAGTTAGAGCTGAATACAAAGACAATTGAGTCATTCATAGTCTCAGCAATTCCACAATGAGCAACTGGATTATCTCATGTATAATTTACATTGGATCAAAAAAATGGGTTCCCCTCTGTGTATATCAATTTAATTCAAACCTTATTAACTTCAAAATACAAAGATGAATACTACAAGATAAATTCTAACTGCAACAGGTATTTTCTAAGTAGAAGACCAAACACCAAAGGGAATCCCTCTTTCCAATGTCTTATGACAAGATTTTGCCAGAGTGGAACTTAAATAAGCATTCTCATGGCCAAGTAAGAAGCTACAGTTGTTATGGGTATTACCCTACAATTACCATATGTGTTACATATTAAATTAAACTCAGCATTAAATATGCTTGCATAATTATGCTGTTAATGATGATAGCAGTGATGATACTGGTGGAAAAGGCCTGTCTTTAGTCCAAGAAAAGTCAGGGAGAAAAACCTTAAGCAGAAAGCAGACACAGAGTTGGGCATTTTTTGACTAGGAAAGAGAATTTTAAGCATAGAAATATAAAAAGAAAAGTACTCCCTTATTTCCCCTTTGTGGAAATAATCTCATACATTTATTAGATATACTAGACAGGAACAGAACTAAGTACTCCAACTCTACTGCAGCATTACAAAAAAATCATCCCTTCACAGTGTAAGATTTAAGGACAACCTGCACAAGAATGCACGTTATGTAAAACACAGCAAGATTGCTGCTGCCCTGCCAAGGACTTCCAGTCTCTGCAAAGACAAGTCAAAATGCTTCAGGAATCACATATCCAACACAAACTTTATCCTTAAATGAATTATGTTTGCCTCGCACTAATAAACTTTTATTTCACTCAAATTAGAGCAAAAATCTTCTATACATTCAGTATCTGCCCTACCCAATAATTCAAAGAAAAAAAAATCCAAAATGAGTAGTAAAGAAAAACATAAGCATTAACAGACCCTTTAAATTTGTTTTAAATATTTTTAAAGTTAAAAAGTGTTTAAAGTTTGTAATTCCTAGTAGGAAAACATTATCTGTATGAATACCCTAATGGCAAACCACTGTAAAATGCTTCAGCTGCATTTGGGGGAGAGGAGTAGGGATTATCTTCAAAGCACCCCAGCTCTCTTGATGAGAAGGTCAGAGGTACATTGGTTTGTATTATTGCAACATCCATAAGGTGATCTAGGTTGCTTTTCCTTCAGCAAAGGCTTTATTTATCAGAAGGGCATTATGCTTGACCTCCAAATTTGGCTGACAATTTGCTGATAAGATTCATAACCTTTGGGTTGCTCTGGTATTTTTGACATATTTGCTGGGTTCTGAGCCACATCCTGGAAGGCCACCATAACTTCTGGATCCTGCATGGCTGCAAGAACCTCTGGATCACTAAGGATTTCATTGAGTCCAGGCATTCCAGCCATTCCAGGCATACCCCCTCCCATTCTGGGCATTCCTCTGGGAAAACCACCAGGCATTCCCCCAGGAAAGCCACCTGGAAAAGAGCCATACTGAGCTCCTGACTGTCGTTTGGCTTCTTCCTCCCCCTGGGCTCTCTCATGCTCTTCTCGAGCCTTCTTAACTCTTTCTATTCTTTCTTTGATCTCTTGCTCTTCACGTTTTCGCTCATACTTTCTCCGATGTTCTGCAATTTTCTGTGCCCTAGGTTGAACTTCTTTCAGCATTGCACTCACATCTTCATCATAATCCAGTTTACAGGCAAGGGCAAGATCATGGGCTGCTTCTTCCCAGTGGCCTAGAAGTCTGTGTGCTTTCCCTTGCCACTTGTAAGGCTGAGCTGAATCAGGATTTATTTCAATGGCTCTGTCACAGTCTCAGATGGCAGCATTTGGCTTCTGTAATTTGATGAAGACACTGGCCCTCTTGGCATACAAAATGGCCAAGCGAGGATTCAGCTTGATGGCATCTGTGAATAAGTCAATGACTTTCTGCAATTCACCATCATTTAGGGCTTCAATAGCAGCCACTTTCTTATCATTTGCCTGATCTATCATCTCCTCTGTTATCTCTGCATTTTCATCTCCCATTTCTTGAGGGGTGTCAGTGTCTGGTTCAATCACACCTTCATTATCAGTTTCTAGATCACTTTCCTCACTTGATGGTTCATCTGCCTTTAAATCTTCCTCTACCTTCTTACTATCAGCTTTTTCTTCCTTGGTATTTTCTTCTGATTTAGCTCCCTGAGTAGCACGTGGTATTTTACCCCCCATACTCTCCACCCACTCCCTCAGGAAGCGCATTTCTTCTGTGTGCAGAACGCTTGGATCCTGCTTACACATCTTCACAAAGGCCCGAAGCTCGTTCACTTTTCGGGGGTCCATGGTCGTGAGGCGGTGGGTGAAGCTGAGGGTCTGCGGCCCGCTTCCAGGCCGAGGTGCTGGCTCGGCGTGACCGCGCAGACATTATTTTGTGAGAAAGAAGACAGGCACAAAAGAGTACAAACTGTATGATTCCATTTATATGAAGTTAAGGAACAGGCAAAATTGACCTGCCCTTTAGAGAATAATGGCTACTTCAGGATGAGGGGCTCAAGGTAAAAATTGAGAGCAGTTAGAAGCAGAGGCAAGTATTTCATTCACTGCTACTGCAACAGGAGGGCTCAAGGGAGAGTGACTTCCTGAGCAAAATTTAGTTGGGGTTGTTTAATTGTGTCAAGGATTAGAATGGAGAAGTGGTGAGAAAGCAAGGTTGCTGACTCAGGTCCCAGAAGCCTGCCAGGTAATAGCAATGAGGCCATAAAGCCTACATCTTGATTTCTATTTCTCAACATTCCTGTGATTTTTGTGGTCAGCAAAGTCTGAATCAGGATGACCATGGTATTTACTTGCCACCATCTGTCCTTGGAATTTATTGCCCCTTAGGATTTAGTCTACTTCTGTCAGTCTCTGAAACTGTCTTTAGGCAAAGAAATACAGTCTGAAGGCTGGGCATAGTGGCTCATACCTGTAATCCCAGGACTTTGGGAGGCCAAGGTGGGTGGATTGCTTGAGGTCAGGAGTTCAAGACCAGCTTGACCAAAATGCTGAAACTAAAAATACAGAAATTATCTGGGCATGGTGGTGGATGCCTGTAATCCTAGCTACTCCGGAGGTTGAGTCAGGACACTCACTCCGAAGTTCATGAAAGAAGTACAGCTTTCACAGAGGTATGAGGACATGAGAGAGCCATGGAGGCTAAAAATATCCTATACCTCGATCTAGATGGTTACAGGGTGTGTATGTGTGTAGACATCCATTGAGCTGTGTACTTATTGGTCATGAAAAACTTATTTAAGAAATGAATTTATATATTAGTTGCACAGAAAAATATTTCTATTACATTGTTGAGTGAAAAAGGCAAGTTATGCTTGAGCATTTCTCACTGAACTCACTTCTACCAAAAAAAATTTACATATAAGAAGAAAGAAGACTAGAAAAACTACTCCAAAATATGAGATTGTGGATGAGTTTTATTTTTGGTTGTTTGCATTTTCTAAACTTTAGAAATAGAATTCCTATGTATTGGGAGCAGTCCAGAGTCTTCTCCAAATTCCCACAGCCCCAGGCTCAATAGCAATAACCACAGCATTCACAACCTCTGACCCAATGGATTGGCAACATCATCAGCTCTACCAGACAGCCAGAAGTAGCTGTCTTCATCCATGATCCCTCTGCCACCTGTGAGGTAAAGCATGTGGCCTCTTGCTGAAGCATATTCCTCCCAGCTCACCTGATAGAATGACAAATCCAGAAACCTACATTTACTTCCATTTTACAATCATTTAGTAATATGAATTGAGCACTCTGGCTACCCTCAGGGGAGACTGAGAAAAATAAGTCAGGATCCCCACTCTCCAGGGGATTCCACACAGAAAATTCAACACACACGGAGAAATTTCCTCGGTCATTTCTCTTAACCTCAGCTTTTTTTTTTTTTTTTTAATTTTTATGTCTCACTAGAAACAGGAGTAATGATGACACTTCACTCAGAGGTTTGTCCTGAGGCTTAAATGAGGCAACATGGACACAGCATTTTAGTACAGGGCCAGGTACAGAATGTGTAAGTGTTGTTGGCTGCTATTTTCTCAGGCTCGTCATCCATCGGATACATTCGCTGCTCCCTGTCTTTGAATTGTGCCTTTAATTTTCATATTGCCCATGACCAAAATTCCATCAGAAAAAGGTGGTTTTAGATTAAGGTTCTTACACTGGAAACACAATGAGAGTGATTGGTGAAAATGTCCCTTTGCACAGGCCCATTTTGCTGGAACATTCTGTGGAGTGTTCACAGATTCTTTATTTTTTCTTTTTATTGAGATGGAGTTTTTCGCTCTGTTGCCCAGGTTGGAGTAGAGTTGGCATGATCTTGACTCACTGCCAACCTCTGCTGCCCAGTTCAAGGGATTCTTGTACCCCAGCCTCCCGAGTAGCTGGGATTATAGGCGCCAACCACCACACCTGGCTAGTTTTTTTGTATTTTAATAGAGATGGGGTTTTGCCATGTTGGCTAGGCTGTTCTTGAACTCCTGCCCTCAGGTGATCCTCCTGCCTCGGGCTCCCAAAGTGCTGGGATTATAGGCGTGAGCCACCATGCCCAGCCAGATTCTAACAGCATTTGACTCATTGCCATAGAGACCATGTCACCAGTTTATCCAGAGTCTTAGATCTAATGGACAGCCTGCTTATTAGAGTTCTAATAAACTTTAGTGAAATGCTGCATAAGCATCTCATTTTCAAACAGCACAATAATCTCAGTAGGTATATGACATATCTGGGTCTTTTCTTTGAAATCTCTGTCTTATGGATGAGAACAAGATTTTAAAGTCTCGGTGTATTTAAGTTGTCTTATCAAAGTTTGGAAATATTAAGCATTTTTCTGTCACAGAAATTCTTAAAATATTTAAAATGTTTTACCTAGGCTTTAAGTCAAAAACGCTACAAGAAATACTCAGAGACATTTAAAGAGTTAACGAGAATACTCACTGAACCAGTATTTATGATATAAAACATTGGAAGTAACCAAAATTTTAAAAAATAGTAGATATGTTAAATAGATCATGATAGTTCTTCTTGATAGGACTCTATAAAATTATTAAAAATGTTTTTATATAAGGTCTGGGTATGGTGGCTTACACTTGTAATCTCAGCACTTTGGGAAGCTAAGGTGGGTAGATCACTTGAAGTCAGGAGTTCCATCATGGTTAAACCTGTCTCTACTGAAAATACAAAAATTAGCTGGGCATGGTGGTGAGAGCTTGTAATCCCAGCTACTCAGGAGGCTGAGGTTACAGTATGTCGAGATTGTGCCACTGCACTCCAGCCTGGGTGATAGAGTGAGACCTTGTCTCAAAAAAAAAAAAAAAAAGTTGTCATATAAGATTTACTGATATCTGAAAATCATGAGTAAAAAAACTGATAGAGTGCAATCCCACTTTTATTAAATAATACCTATAAGTAGAAAAAGAATGAAGGTTATATACACACCAGATGTTAATAGTGGGTAATAATGGTGGTGTTATGAGCTTATATGCTTTTCTTCTTTGGTCTTTTCTATGTTTTTGAAAGTTGTCTATATTGAACACAAATGAGTTTTATTATGAGGAAAGATTAAACAATAAAGTATTTTAAAAGCAATTAAAAGAACCCCCCCTTAATAGAAAAAATGGACTGCTCATTTTTATGGAATAATGCCACCTAATTAATGTATCAGAAGTAGCAGTTTGGGCCAGACACTGTAGCTCATGCCTGTAATTCCAGCATTTTGGGAGGCCGAGTTGGGTGGATCACCTGAGGACTGAAGTTCGAGACCAGCCTGACCAACATGGTAAAACTCCATCTCTACCAAAAATAAATTAGCTGGGTGTGGTGGCGGGTGCTTGTAATCCCAGCTACTCAGGAGGCTGAGGCAGGAGAATTGCTTGAACCCCGGAGGTGGAGATTGCAAGTAAGCTGACTACACTTCAGCCTGGGTGACGAGGGAAACTCTATCTCAAAAAAAAAAAAAAAAAAAATAGCAGTTTGAAAATCACCATTCTGCACTGCCTATTTTATATTTATTTATTTTTGAGACAGGGTATTGCTGTGTTGCCCAGTCTGGAGCACAGTAGTGTGATCATGGCTCATTACAGCCTTGATGCCCTGCACTCAGTTTATCTTCCCACCTCAGCCTCCTCAGTAGCTGAGACTACAGATGCATGTCACCATGCCTGGCTAATTTTTGTATTTATTTTTTTTTTTTTGTAGAGTTGGAATTTTGTCACGTTGCTCAGGCTAGTCTTGAACCCCTGGGCTCAAGCTACCCATCTTCGCTTCCCAAAGTGCTACAATTACAGACATGAACAATTGTGCCCAGCCACTGTCTATTTTAATAATTGTTTCTGAAAAGAAAAGAATCATCTACGGATGCTAAAATGATTGGGTAAAAGTTAATTGGATAATATATTTACAGAGTCTCGAATTGTTATTCAACAGGTTATTACTAATTACAAACAGGAAAATGTACCTTTACAATGGAGAGAAATGGCCCTCGCCTCCTTAATCAAAAGATCAAAATTATCAGCACACAAAATGAGACAACACAGTGTATCCCCAGTATAAGCAAATAAGAAATATACATCATCCACATAATATTCTTGAGAAAGATGTTTATCTTGGATCTCGTTGTGAGGAATCAATAGGTTAGTTTAGAAAGTGAGGCATTTTCTAACACAATAGTCCTCTACTTTTCAAAATGTCCATGCCATGAAAAACATGGTGGTGGGACAGTTATAGGTAAAAATAACTAAAGATATAGGAGAACCAAATAAATGCATGGACCTTGATTGAATTCTGGATTTACAAAAGCTATAAAACACATTTGAATACAATTGAGAAATCTAATGACTGGATATTAGATAGCATTAAAGAATTATTTTTTTCATAGATGTGATGGTATTGATGTTTAAGAAGAAAGTCCTTATTCTTAAGAGAATGCTGCTGAAATATTTAAGGACAAAGTGTCGTAATGTCTGCACTTATTCCCAAATGTCTCATCAAAAATGTACAAATGTAAATGAGGGAAAATATTATGAGAAGTGAATATAGGTGAGAGATGTACAGGTAAGTGTTAATCATGCTGCTATTTTAACATTTTTGGAAACTCAAAAATTTGCAAAATTAAAAGTTGGGACAAAAGTATTTGGCAAACCATAAAATACTCAACAGTAATGGCACTATGGTTAGTAGCAACAATGAAAGTATTTAGGAAAAAAAGAAAATTTTCTTACCATGTGTGGACAGTACAGAGAAGCAGGTTGGTTTTGTTTTATGCGTATTGCAATATTCCCTAAGAGGCAAGATATTTAAGTTTTCATCCACAATCTGAAATTAGATAATCAGTAAAGGAATATTCCTTATAAACCATTTGTTCTTTTCTTAAAACACAACAAGATCTAAACTTAAGCCTTACTACCCTCATTTAAGATGCCAGGAAAGTGCTTGGTTGGTGTACCTAGATACTGGGCAACCTAAGAGGCAGTGTGGTTCAGTGGTCAGTGTGAGGGTGCCAGAGCTGGAAATATTTGGATTTGGATGTCCACTCTGATACCTTCTGACTTTGAGAATCTCGTATGCTTCTCTGAACATCAGTTTCCTCATGTAGACTATCAGAGATTTAAAAGTGCATTTACTATACAGCTTTATTGTGAGGATGAAATAAGATGATATAGGTAAGGGCTCCATTGTGAGGATGAAATAAGATGATACAGGAAGGGCTCCATTGCCTGGTTAGCGCAAAGTTTTAAGAAAACCAGCATCTTGGAAAGCCTTTTTAAACAAGGACACTTAATTAGCCATCTTAGGTATAAGAAAAGAAATATAAAGAGCATGAAAATTTAAAAACAGATCTGGCAGTTTTATAACAGTCTAGGAGGTGGTGTTATTTTTTCCTATTAAGAATTGGGGGCAGGTTAGGAATAAATAAAATACAGTTTGAAAATAATGAGTTATTTCAGCCGAGTGGCTTCTTTATTGACCTAAAATGGAAGGCATGACCATGAAGGAATGTGATAGCAGTTAAAAAGTACGCTGATAAGCTGGCTCAATTTTGAGGGCTACAACCTTCCCACTTGTCACCTTGGAAAGCAACATTTATATTCATTTTGAATTTATTATCCTTGCTGAATACTTTGAAACTTTTCTATAGAGACTACCAGCCTTAAAGATCAGAAGGTCTTCAGAGATAGTACATCCTCATACTTTGATGGCAAACTTTAGACTTCAGGAAAAAAAAAAAGTGATATTTAGTACTAAGTCTAGTAAATTAGGTGAATTAGCTAGTGAATATATTTTTAAATGAGATTTTTAAAACTTTATTTTCAATGAAATTGTTCTATTTTATTTTTTGATTGTTTATTGATACTATATAGAAATACAAGTAATATAATTTTTTGTATATGGCTTTTATTTCCTGCAACTTTGATGAACTCAATTATTCACTCTAATAGTGTGTTTGTATTCCTTAGAATTTTTTTTTATTACACTTTAAGTTCTGGGATACATGTGCAGAACATGCAGGTTTGTTACATAGGTATACACGTGCCATGACGGTTTGCTGCACCCATCAACCTGTCGTCTACATTAGGTATTTCTCCTAATGTTATCCCTCTCATAGACCCCAACCCCCTGACAGGCCCTAGTGTGTGATGTTCTCCTCCCTGTGTCCATGTGTTCTCATTGTTCAACTCCCACTTATGAGTAAGAACATGCAGTGTTTGGTTTTCTGTTCTTGTGTTAGTTTGCTGAGAATGATGGTTTCCAGCTTCATCCATGTCCCTGCAAAGGACATGAACTCATCCTTTTTTATGACTGCATAGTGTTCCCTGCATGGTGTATATGTGCCACATTTTCTTTATCCAGTCTATCATTGATGGGCATTTGGGTTGGTTTCAAGTCCCTGCTATTGTGAACAGTGCTGCAATAAATATGTGTGCACATGTCTTTATATTAGAATGATTTATAATCCTTTGGGTATATACCCAGTAATGGATTGCTAGGTCAAATGGTATTTCTGGTTCTAGATCCTTGAGGAATTGCCACACTGTCTTTCACAATGGTTGAACTAATTTACACTCCCACGAACAGTGTGCAAGTGTTCCTATTTCACCACATCCTCTCCAGCATCTGTTTCCTGACTTTTTAATGATTGCCATTCTAACTGGTGTGAGATGGTATCTCATTTTGGTTTTGATTTGCATTTCTCTAATGACCAGTGATGATGAGCCTTTTTTCCATGCATATGTTGGCTGCATAAATGTCTTCTTTTGAGAAGTGTCTGTTCATATCCTTTGCCCATTTTTTGATGGGGTTGTTTTTTTCTTGTAAATTTAAGTTATTTGTAGATTCTGGGTATTAGCCCTTTGTCAAATGAATAGATTGTAAAAATTTTCTCCCATTCTGTAGGTTGCCTGTTCACTCTGATGATGGTTTCTTTTGCTGTGCAGAGCTCTTTAATTAGATCCTATTTGTAAATTTTGGCTTTTGTTACCATTGCTCTGGTGTTTTAGTCAGGAAGTCTTTGCCCATGCCTATGTCCTGAATGGTATTGCCTAGGTTTTCTTGTTTTTTTATGGTTTTAGGTCTTATATTTACATCTTTAATCCATCTTGAGTTAATTTTTGTGTGTCCAATTTTAGTTTTCTGCATATGGGTAGCCAATTTTCCCAATATCATTTATTAAATAGGGAATCCTTTCCCCATTGCTTGTTTTTGTCTGGTTTGTCAAAGATCAGATGGTTATAGATGTGTGACATTATTTCTGAGGCCTCCGTTCTGTTCCATTGGTTTATATATGTTTTGGTACCAGTACCATGATGTTTTCGTTACTGTAGCCTTATAGTATAGCTTGTTCCTTAGAATCATGTCATCTGTTGAACACAGGTAGTTTTACTTCTTCCACTTCTTCCTTTCCAATTTGGATGCTATTTCTTTTTCTTGCCTAATTGCCCTGGATAGAACCTCTGTTATATAGAAGTGGCAAGAGTGAATATTCTTGTAAGTCCTGATCTTAGTGGGAGCACTTTCAGTCTTTTACTGTTGAGTTTGATGTGAGCTATGGGGTTTCTATATGTTCTTTATCAGATTGAGAAAGTTCCCTTTCATTGCTAGTTTGTTGAAGTTTGTTACCATGAATAGGTGTTGGTGATTTGTCAGTGATTTTTCTGTGTCTGTCAAGACGATAATGTGATTTGTGTCCTTTGTTTTACTAATACAGTATATTAATTGGTTTTTATAGTTTGAACCAACTTTGTATTTCTGGAATAATACTACTTGGTTATGGTATATAATCCATTTATATATTTTTTGTTAGGTTGGCTGGTATTTTGTTGAGTTTTTTTTGGCACCTATAGTCATAAGAAATATTAATGTGTGGTTTTCTTTTCTTTCTTTCTTTTTTTTTTCTTTTACCTGTACATATCAAGGAAATTTGTGGTTTTCTTTTCATGGGATGTCTTTGATTTTGGTATCAGGATAATCCTGGCTCATACTATGACCCCATTTGTACAGCCTCCAAAATCGTGTATATTTTGGGGGAGAGTTTGTGAAGGATTAATGTTAATGCTTCCTTAAATGTTGGATAGAATTCACCATGAAGCGATCTGGGCCTGGCTTTTTCTTTGTGGTAAGAGTGTGTGTGTGTGTGTGTGTGTGTGTGTGTGTTTGTGTGTGTGTGTGTTTTGGATGGGGAGTGTAAGCAATGAAGTTATGGTACTTCATTTTGACAAATTAAAAAATATGTCTTTCATCTTCCCCCTTTGTGTGGGTCCTCTTCTCCTTTCTCACCTGAATTAAAAAATAAACCCTCTAGTGAGGTACAGTTGACAGGCAAAAAGCTGTCCATATTTAATGTGTACAACTTGATGAGTTTGAATATAAGTAAACACCTATGAAACTGTCACTACAATCTATGCCGTAAACCTATTCATCACATTCAAAAGTTCCCTTCCACCCTCTGTCTTATTATTATTTTGGTAATAAGAACACTTAAGACATTTCCTTAGCCAGATTTTAAGTATGTAATACAGTGTTGTTAATTGTTGGCATTATGCTATACAATAGATCTCTAGCAGTTACTGTCTGTGTAGCTGAAATTTTGTACCCCTTAATGAATACCTTCCTGTTTTCTCCTCCCACCAGCTCCTGGAAACCACCAATTCACTTTCCAGATCTATGAGTTAAACCCCCCCCCCTTTTTTTTTTTGAGACAGAGTCTTGCTCTGTTGCCCAGGCTGGAGTGCAGTGGTGCGATCTCTCTGCTTACTGCAACCTGTGCCTCCCAGGTTCAAGCAACTCTCCTACTTCAGCCTCCTGAATAGCTGAGATTACAGTCATGTGTCACCATGCCTGGCTAAGTTTTGTATTTTTAGTAGAGATGGGGTTTTGCCATGTTGGCCAGGCTGGTCTTTAACTCCTGGCCTCAAGTCTACCTACCATGGCCTCCCAAAGTGCTGGGATTACAGGCATGAGCCACCTCACCCAGCTGATATCATTTTCTCAATTTACTTTTTGGATAATTTATTGTAGTGTATAGAAACACAACTGATTTTGTACATTGATCTTGTGTCCTGAAATTTTGTTTAATTTGTTTATCCTAATTTTTTTGGTTAATCTTTAGAATTTTCTTGTGTGTGTGTGTGTGTGTGTGAAGAATCTCTGTAGAGCTTTATAATTTTCCTCAATCTTTTATAAAGTTTTGCCAATATCTAATTATGTAATAATTCTTTTTAGCAATTCACTTTTACTAAGTCTTTTGAAAACATTTACAATGCATTCAAAAAAAGTTTCACAAAAAGCAGTTTTGTACTTATAGGTCATTGGTTTGTATTATGTGATTATAACAACACACACAGCACAAATAAACAGGTTTTGAGCCAATTGCAATTCAAAGGGTGGGAACAGACATGTCCAGATACTTAGCATACATATCATATGTAGAAATATAATTTTCTACACATTTATAAGATCATGTAATCTGCAAACAGAGATAATCTTTTTTCCTGATTTGAATATTTCTTATTTCCTTTTCTACTTACTCTGGCTAGGAACTATAATACTATGTTGGATAGAAGTGGAGAGAATGTGCATCATTTTCTTGTTCCAGATCTGAGAGAAAAAGCTTTCAGTTTTCAATTCGGTTTTTGACCATTGAATATGATGTTAGCTGGGTGCTTTTTATATATGGCCTTTATTGTGTCTAGGTAAATTCCTTCTCTACCTAATTTCTTGAGAATTTTTATCATCAAAGGGTGGTGAATCTTGTGAAATGCTTTTGCTGTATCTTTTGAGATTATCATGTCATCTTTGTCCCTCATTCTGCGAAGGCATTTGGTGCTGGGCTTTTCTTTGTTGGAAGGTTTTTGATTACTAATTTAATCTTTTTATTAGTTATTGGTCTGTTCAGACTTTTTAATGCTTTATGATTCAGTCTTGGTAGGTTGTATGTTTTTAGTACTTTATCCATTTTTTTCTAAGTTGTCCATTTTGTTGACATATAATTTTTTTTCTTTTTTTTTTGAGATGGAGTTTTGCTGTTGTTGCACAGGCTGGAGTGCAGTGGTGTGATCTTGGCTCCCTGAAACCTCCACCTGCTGGGTTCAGGTGATTCTCCTGCCTCAGCCTCCCAAGTAGCTGGGATTACAGGCACCCACCATCATGTTCAGCTAATTTTTGTATTTTTGTAGAGACAGGATTTCACCATGTTGGCCAGGATGGTCTTGAGCTCCTGACCTCAAGTGATCCCCTCTGAAAGTGCTGGGATTACAGCCTCAGCCTCTGAAAGTCCTGGGATTACAGGCATGAGCTACCATGCCTGGCCCTTCAAGAAATATAAAGTTTGTTGATTTTGTGGGAAGATTTTTTTTTTTCTAAGAAAATCCTAAGGAACATTTTAGTTTTTATTTCATTTTTTTTCCATTTTTGTTCATACTTTAGTATGCAAGGCACATTTTAATTTTTACTTATTTTTTGAGAGGAAAATTACATGCTCATTTTATTCATGTCTCTAAATGCAAAGGCCCAAACAAACAAAATTTAAGAAATTTAATCCAAGAAAACAAAAAGAAGAAATGCAATGAAAATTTAACATTTGAAAATATTTTTAATTAACTCTGACTTTTTAATAGGGAAAAACTATTTCATTCACCTTTTTAACAGAATCAGAAAACATATTCAATATAATGTAATACCTATTTATGATTATTGGAAAAAACAAACATATAAAGCTCAATGAATTAGGTTAACTTCCACACCCTGTTAAACAATATGTAGTTAAAAAAATGGAGTCAATTTCAGAATATACAATAGTTATAGTAAATACTACTATTTGTTTCATTCAGGTTGAGAGCTTACTGTTTCCTTTTGACCAATGTTTAAAAAAAAGGCAAGAAAGGCATGAAAGCAAAGGACTATCTTAAAATGAATAATGGTAATTTTATAACTGCTGCTAATCTGAGCCTGCTTTTATGTAATAAAATCCTAGACACAAGCATTTGTCCTACCATTTTAGTATTGCTACCTATGCCCATACCGTGAACTCAGCTACACAATTTGGGAATCACACTACAGTATTTATAATAATCCATACCCGAGCAGCTGACTAGTGGCTTAGACTTCCCTCTTTAGTATATTTTTAGTCAAGTACAGAACACTTATAATGGTGCATTGAAAACAGTTGTCTATATTTTGCATATATCTTTCTAATAGCAAATTATTTTTCTTTGCATTCTCCATGTTTGAAATTTGAACTACATTAAAGAAATATTCTGCAAAATTGTCAGCATCTCCTTCCCTCATTGCTGTGTCTAGGTTCTGTATTCCAGAAGAAAACTGAGGGGGAAATAAAAGCAATAATGTGAGATTATCCTTGGGGTGCATTTAGAGAATGCTGAACTTTACTTCTTGCCTACCTCTATGTTAGGAATTTAGATAAATAACTGTAAAAGCCCACTTAATAATAGCTGTCATAATCATTACTATGATCTCCTACCTGGACAATATAAGGTGGCAATGGCTTCCCCAGAGAGCCTGGCTTCAATTTTATTATTTTGGAAGTGGCACAGAGTAGACCCTGTTTAAAGATATGCAGACAAGTTTTATTTTTAAAAAAGCAGTAAATTAATGGATCTAGTCATTGATCATAACCAGACATTATATGCCTACTAACAGAACAACATTACACAGACTAACAAGTAATCTTATTAAAAAAATAAGAATGTGACTAAACCTCTAGGTCAATTTACAGGAAATGCAGGAGAACAGAAGAATATGTAAACCACACCATAAGGATGCAATTAGCAAAATCCAAGCTGTGAAATATTCAAAAGAACCAACAACTCAGTTTTTTAAAATAACAAATTGCAAAGGAAAAAGAAGGTAATGAGGAAATTCATAAATTAAAAGATACACAAAAGACTTATCAACTAGCCACAATGCGTGAGCATAATTGGAAAAAATGGTAGCAAGAAAACATACATGACTTAAATGATGGATGAAGATGTGAATGGTGGATATTTGTTGATAAGAGGCCGTGCTAACCTACTCTGTATCAGCCAGACAAACTCCATCTTGCTGAGAGTAAGACAGACTCCATCTTAACCTCTCCCTCACCCCTTCCGCCATTTCTCCTTTGAGTGCATGTCTGGGTCATGTTCCTGTGCTGGATCATGCTGTACTTAGAACTATAGAAACATAACCATTGCAACCATATCCTGCCTGGCAAGCTCACTTGTTATTGTGAATACCCCCCTTGATTGTATGACAAGTACCGAATACCCTCCTTGGTAACCAGCAATCATGGGAACCACTTGTGAATACCCTCCTTAGTAATCAACAATTCATGGGAACCTCCTGCCTCCTGGTTACTAGCCTCCTTATCTAACTCGCTTGTTCTGCTTCTATAAATCCTGCTTCAGTTAGGCTTCTCCTCCCCTTTTCTAAGCAAGATATAAAAATGAATCAAGCCCCTTCCTCCGGCTGAGAGATTTTGAGCACAAGCTGATTCTCGGTGGCTGGCAATAAAGGACTCTCAATTGGAACTCAGAGTGTGGTGCTTTCCTTCTGACTAGCTCGGGTATAACAAAGCAATTGTTAACTTTTAGGTATAATTGGAAAATATGGTTGTTTTTGGAATCCTTGTTTTTTAAAATATGTATACTAGAGCTATTTATGGATAAAACATAGTTTTTGGGATTGAAGAGGAATAATGATAAAACAGGATTAGCCATAAGGTAATTGTTGAAATGGGCAGTGGATACATGGGAATTCAATATACAATTTTGTCTATTTTTGTATATCTTTTGAGATTTTAAATAATAAATGTCTCAAAAATAAGTAATTGTTTTAGGCTGCTGAGAAATACTTTAGCACAGCATGTAGGGCACCCGAAAGAGGGCACAGAAGTCTACCTTGGAGGGCACGAGAACTGGATCTTATATGAGTCAACCATGGGTATAATGGAATGGAGAAAAATTTATTTATTAAAATTTCACAGAAACCAAGTAAGATGGACCATCCTGGAGAGCCTGCTTCCTATGAGGGAAATTGTCTGAGTGAGGACTTGACATTTCTTGAAGGGTTGAGTACTGTGAAAAATTTAGGGGCTCAGACTCCTGAATGGCAAGGCAGAATGATAAGTGCAGGGGCCGGGGACAGAGCAGTACCTGATGGGTTTCTCCATAACGTCCCAATCTACGTTAAAGATACTCTGTTTGTGAATTCACAATTGTGATTTCCTCTGCTGTGGAAAACAGTAGTGACAAATATCTTTGTACCAATTGGCATGTGGCAAAATGGAGTCACCACAAACAGATGCAGGAAAACTGGGAGAAACTAACCCCATTCACTTTATTTTACAACTCCAGTGCCATAACTTTTGCATTTGATGGTTTCTATACCCCCAACACTCCCTCTACTGACTTCTCTTTCCTACTTTGGCTTAGATGTCACTTCCTCCAGGGTGCTCTGATTCCCCAGGCCAAGTTAGATGTCCCTTCCATGTATTTCCAGTGTAACCTGTGTTTATGCTTCATCACATTTTCCCCACTATACAACAATTATTTGTGCATTTGACAAAGACAGGAATTATTTTTTATTATTATTTAAAACAGTAGAGACTGAGCTTACTATGTTGCCCAGGCTGGTCTGAAACTCCTGGGCTCAAGTGATCCTCTTGCCTTGGTCTCCTAACGTGCTGGGACTATAGGCATGGGCCACTGTGCCCAGCCTGGAACAGGAATTTTTTCTGTCTTCTACATAGTTATTTCTCCACTGCCTATTGCTGAGTCTTACATGTAAAAGAGACTTAATATTTTCTTGTGTTTACATGCTAACAAATTGGAGGCCCCAGATTCTGAATGTTTTTGAGGATGGTCATAGTGATCTCCTTGTAGTGTACTATGGTAACTAGTTTTATGGTTCTTTTAAGAACTCCTCCTTCTTTGCATGTAATCTGGTGGGACTATTAATCATGGTTCTGTAGATCCACTTTTTGGGATGAACAAATGTCCCAGGTTAGGACCTTTAAATTACAGTCCAAGGGAAAAGGATAGACAGAAGCCTGGACAATCAGAGTCTGTTCCAAGAATTTTCCAAAGTAGAGGAAAAGTAGGGCTATTTTGACTTGTCTGAAGGAGAGGTAACTCCAGAGTTGCTGGTGTTCATCTTGTCTGCTTTGTGGAAGAAACTCATCAGAGAACAACTCATAGAAAAAAGCAGATGGAGCAACTGAGAGGGAGAGAATGAGAGAGAGCTGATGTTTTAAGAGTTAATGTGTTTTAGTTCTGGGTGTTTGGGCCCCTCCAGTCTTGATTTCATAAGCCCCCTTGATGGTATTCCCAGCAAAATGGATTTTTAATTTCCACTTTTGCTCAAGCTTGTTTGAAATAAGTTTCTGTCCCTTGCATCTGAAATAATGCTGGCTAACACAAGCCTCCTTAGCTATTGCCAGTATATTACAATTAAATGAAAGATATACATTTTCTCCTGTGCAGGCTGTATGACAAATTAAAAATCCAAAGTTTATTAGGTGTTGCTGGAATCATATCAACTTAGTGTGTCAACTTTGCTTATTTCAGATGTTCTGAGTGTGAGTCATATTTGTATTTCATAAAAAGAAAGATGAAGCCAAAAGCAATATTGCCTAAGATGTGCTGTTTTGCTAAACAGCATCTTTCACAGCCTGAGATCAATGAGGAAATACAATGCAGTGAGTCCTGGGTGCTGAAAATGTCAACTTTTTGGATGTAATTAAATGGTTCTGTGAGTGTGGTATAGACAGAATCTGAGACAGAATTTGACCATTTCTCGTTTCCTCTTTTACAGTTTTGAATTGTAACCTGCCTACCAAGTGTGAGCTTGACTATGAGGTCTCAAAGATTTCAATCTTGTGTTCTGAATTTTCTTTAACTTTCTAAGTCAGGGTGTTTCCTGAGCCAAGTGGAACTACATAGCTCCACCATGGTCCTCAAACTGTAGACCTCTCCTCAGAGCCTGGGATCTCAATTTGACTGTTTTGTCTTCCCGCAGGCAGGCTGAGGTTTTCCTAGTCACCACAAAATGCTTTTGGAATTAAAAAGACAAACCAAGTCCTATAAAAAGGCTTTGGTGTTACCAAGATTATGGAATTCCCTTCTTAGTATAATTCATAAAACAGTGGTAATATATAAAACAAGTGTAAGAAATCTCCCTGCCCCCCAAATTCTTATTTTTCTCATACTGACTATTTGAATGTTTAAAAAATATTGGTTATTCAATCCTTTCTTTTTTTTCCTTCCATTTATTTTATTGCATTTTAGGTTTTGGGGTACATGTGAAGAACATGCGAGATTGTTGCATAGGTACACACGTGGCAGTGTGATTTGCTGCCTTCCTCCCCATCACCTACATCTGGCATCTCTCCCCCTGCTATCCCTCCCCA